ATACTTTTGCACTCTAGGAATGAATTTTAGGTTATTCTGGCATAAATAACTATAACATTTCAGTAATTCTTGGGATAATTGTTTCAGTAACTGACTTGAGGGACCACATGTGGTTTTAGAGACTGAATGGGTCGGTGGCAGGACCACTGGAGTTCTTTGGTGGCAGAGGCCTTTAAGTTTAATATTTCTGTTGGCATGACTGCAGAACCAGGAACCTCTATGTTCTGGATAGCGCCTCTTCTAACACATATATACACACTCACAAACACATTTACACACATACACACTCACATGCACATTCACACATACACACACACATACACACTCACCCCCTCCCACACATTCACATACACTCACACACACACACACTCACATACACACATACACATTTGCACACATACACACTCACACACGTTCACATACATACACACACATACACACTCACACATTCACACATTCACACATATACACACATATACACATATACACACATTCACACACTCACACACACACTCACACACACTCACACACGATCATGTATCGAGAACTAACTGAAAACTTTGATTTTCTAGGCCCTCGTCCCTCATTTCCTCCTTTTTTCGCCCCGCTCTTTGCTTCCTCCTGCCGTGACTCCTCATGCATGTTTTTTTCCTCCTGGCCTGGTCCTCGCTCCTTATTTCCTCTGTAACACATCCTTCCAAACTTTGTCCTCTGCATCTCCGATGCTAGGGTTTAGAAATGCCGACCATTTCAAAAGAAATCATTTATATCTCATGTGCAGTTTTGCTTCCTCCTTTATTTTGAACCACACCTGGCAGTTCTCAGGACTTACTCCTGGCTCTGTGCTCAGGGATCACTTTTGGTGACTTGGGGGACCATACGGACTGCTGGGGATCAAACCTGGGTTGGCTGCATGCAAGGCAGTTGTCCTGCCTGCTCCACTATCTCTTGGGGCCCAAATCTCCCCTTTTTGTTTGCTAAAATATCAAGGGAGGATGGGGATATAACCCAATGGGAGAACCAGCACCGGAAAAAAAAATCATAGCAATGGAACATTACTATATAGAATGGATAAATGTATGTTGTAACAAGACTGTAATAATTTTGTTTGACCAATTTCCTTTGGAGAAACATTTTTGCATACAGTAAATTAATCACAGTTAGCACAGCGATAAGTAGGGCAGTTGCCTTGCATGCGGTTCGATTCCTCTGTCCCTCTTGGAGAGCCTGGCAAGCTATCGAGAGTATCCCACCTGCACGGCAGAGCCTGGCAAGCTACCCGTGGCGTATTTGATATGCCAAATACATAACAACAAGTCTCACAATGGAGACGTTACTGGTGCCCACTAGAGCAGATCAGTGAACAACGGGAGGACAGTGCTACAGTGCCTGATTATTTAGGATAAACTGCTATTAGTGATACTGTTTGGTGAAGAGTTTGCACATTCAAATGCAAACTTTGCTCCTTCCTCCCCCCAAAAGGAAAAGGGCTCTTCTGTGCCCTTTCTCCTTGTACACACTGAGTGCTATCACTTTTCTCTTTCATTTTTCATTTTGAGATTTTTTTTGTCAGTATTTCTGCTTACTTGTGCATATGAACATTCTTTTTTTTTTTTTTCCCCTTTATTTTATTTTATTTTTTTTAAAGTTGTAGATTTACAATTTTTTGTGCTTTGGTTTCAATTATACAATGATCAGATACCCATCCCTCCACCAGTGCCCATTTTCCACCACCATGGATAATATCCCTCCCACCCCCATCCCCCCATCCCCCCGTCTCTGTGGCAGGGCAATCCCCTGTGTTCTCTCTCTCCTTTTGGGTGTTGTGGTCTGCAAAAGAGGCATTGAGTGGCAAACATGTTCAGTCCATAGTCTACTTTCGACATGCATCTCCCCTCCTGGGAGGATCCTCCAAACATCCTTTATTTGGTGCTCCCTTCTCTATCTGAATAGCCCTTTCCTCTAGGATACCCGGCTGGCCTCTAAGTTATGGAGTAATCCTCCTGGTGCTGATCTCAGCTATTCTTGGGTATTAATCTCATACTTTGTTACTTTATATCCCCCAGATGAATGCAATCTTTCTATGTCTATCCCTCTCTTTCTGACTCGCATATGAACATTCTTTTAATTGACCTCTTGTAGTTCTTCTGAGAATTTCTTTTTTTTTTTTTTCTTTTTGGGTCACACCCGGCGATGCACAGGGGTTACTCCTGGCTCTGCACTCAGGAATTATTACTGGCGGTGCTCAGGGGACCATATTGGATGTTGGGAATCGAACCCGGGTCGGCCACGTGCAAGGCAAACACCCTACCTGCTGTGCTATTGCTCCAGCCCCTCTTCTGAGAATTTCTTTCTTACTCATTTATAATATTATTGAAAAAATTCAATTGAATGAAGACTTGTCTCATGTATTTTTCAATGATTTTTGGGGGGGGGGCGCCACACCCGGTAATGCTCAGGGGTTACTCCTGGCTCTGCACTCAGGAATTAGTCCTGTCGGTGCTCGGGGGACCACATGGGATGCTGGGAATCGAACCTGGGTTGCCGTGTGTAAGGCAAACTCCCTACCCACTGTGCTATTGCTCCAGCCCCTTCAATGATTTTTAAAAATTATCTATTTTTTTTTCTTTTTGGGTCACACCCAGTGATGCTCAGGGGTTATTCCTGGATCTGCACTCAGGAATTACTCCTGGTGGTGCTTGGGGAACCATATGGGATGCTGGGGACTGAACCCAGGCCGGCTGTGTGCAAGGCAAACATCCTACCCACTGTGTTATTGATCTGGCCCTAAAATTATCTTTCAACCTTGTCTGTGCCTTTTGTTTAGGAGAGGAGCACCTTATATAGAATAATTACAAAGTTTTTTCTACTTCAAAATTATTAAAATGTTGGGGTCAGAGAGATTTATAACAGGTAAGGCACTTGCTTTGCAAGTGGCTGACCTGAGTTCAGTCCCTGGGACCGCAGAAGGTCCCTCAAACGAGGCCCTTCAGAAGTGATCCTGGAGTGACCACAGAGCCAGGAGGAATCCCTGAGTACCACCAGGTGTGTCCCCCCAATAAAACAAAATTATTAATGTGTTATTCATATCTTTTTAGTCTGTTTAATTATTTTTAATAGGTTAATTTTTCTCCCATTTGAGTCTTTTCTCCTTTTGGAATCATTTCTAAGAAATGATCTCTACTGCTGCCTCTCTGTCTTTCACATTCTAGTCATGTTTGTAACTTGACTGGTGAAGACCAAGAAATGAGCATATGGATTGTGGCAGACACGGACATGTGCCTCATAGATTTTTATCTTTTTTTTTTTTTTTTTTTGCTTTTTGGGTCACACCCGGCAATGCACAGGGGTTCCTCCTGGCTCTGCACTCCAGGAATTACCCCTGGCGGTGCTCAGGAGACCATATGGGATGCTGGGAATCGAACCCGGGTTGGCCGCGTGCAAGGCAAACGCCCTACCCGCTGTGCTATTGCTCCAGCCCCAGATTTTTATCTTATTACTGTGTCTTGAATAATTTGTGGAGAAAGTGATTCCCAGGGAAAGGAATCTTTAGGGAAGTGGTAGTTAGTAATTAAATGTACTAGTATTGAATATGTGTATGAATCAGAAAAAGAGGATATCAGCAAAGTGTCACTTAGAGGTTTGCATGTCACTTTTTTTTAATGTAGAAGTACTGCTATTTATTCAGCCAGTGATTAAGCTGATTGAAGCAGGCACGAACACCACATTACTATTTAAAAATTTTTTTAATTAAAATATTTTTTAATAAAATTATTCACAATAATTGTTTACATTCAGTATTTCAGCATCAATCCCACCACCATTGCACCTTCCCACCACCACTACTTTGAATCTTCCCACCACCACTCCAGCCTGCCCCTTAGATGCTAAATAATTTATTTTGTATTCCTTGTCATGAATAGTATGAGGTGTCACATGGCCGTGAAAGTGGCCATGTGCTCCTGGAATTATAAAATTTTTAAATATTTGGGGTCTGGAGACATCTCTGTGGTGTGCTGCTCTCTTCCGAGATTCATTTGTGAGTCTCTGGATTGTGGGCATTAGTGCTAGTGCTCTAAAGCGATGTCCAGAGGCAGTTCTTGGGCAAGACTGCCAGGAAACCTGAAGGGCAGGGAGATAGGGGAAGGTTGCCCACCCCTGCCTCTGTGAAGACTGGAGTTTTCAGTCACTGGTCCTGCATACCTTTTTTTTTTTTTTTTAAGCAGACTCATTCTCTTGCGTGGGGGGCTTGGGATGAGCCTGGGAAGGTTGGCCACAAGTGTGGCGGTGATTGGGTTCTGGAGGTTTTCGGCTTCCAGGGTTCATTTGGGGCAGGTGGAGGGACATACCTCCCCCCCATGAAATCAGCCTGGTACAGGGTAGGATGACATCTCTGTGGCATGCTGCTCTACTCCAAGATTCATTTGTAAGTCTTTGAATCATGGTTATTAAAATGCTTAAATGTCCTGCTTTTGATCTCTTTCGAGATTTATTTATGAATCTCTGAAGCAAGGTCAATAAATGAGTTTGTATAGCTGACCTGGAGGTGGTTTGTGGGCGTGGCTCCCACGTACCTAATTTTTGGCCATTTAATTTCTCAGGAAACTTGGTCCCAAGTTGTTGGGGTCTGGAAGGAGGCACAGCGGCAATTTTGGGGTATCAGGAAGCTTAAAGGCACTATCAGGCTGCTGATGTACTTGCCCTGCAGATACAGATTGACCTGCTGAGTGGCACCATATGTGTGTTTCACTTCTTTTAGTGACCAAATAAATGGAATTGTAGTATTCATGTAGATGCCATCAGAAATAGCTGACTTGAGTACTTAGTAACTGTATCTCACACAGTGATTTAATAAAAAAAATTTAAAAAAAATCAATAGCTGTTAACGTAGTTTCAGTGTACATTCCTAGTTCAAAAGAGAATGTTCGGAGGGAGATTTGCTTTTCGTCTTTGACCTTACCCATAAGTAAATGCTATTAAGTTTCTTATATCTCTTACAGAAATTTCCTGCATTGTTTTTGACTACAACTTTTTACTAAATGTTCAGTTGGTAAAATTGAAGTTCTTTTACTCAGAAGGACTAAATCAAGGTAAGAGATATATTATTTGTGATTTCAAAATATAGTTGTTTTCAGGTAGTAAGATTATCAATATTATTTCTTCAGGTAAGGTAAAGGTAAAGGCCCTCCCGTTGTTCGTCGATTTGCTCGAGTGGGCCCAGTAACGTCTCCATTGGAGACTTTGTTGATACTGTGTCTGGCATATCGAATACGTCCCGGGGAGCTTGGCAGGCCCTGCTGTGCGGGCGAGATACTCTTGGTAGCTTGCCGGGCTCTCCGAGAGGGGCAGAGGAATCGAACTTGGGTCGCCCATGTTGGCTGCGTGCAAGGCAAACACCCTACCGCTGTGCTATTGCTCCATTTTACATTTCTTCAGGATAATCTCTTTTTGAAAATAATTTTGAGATCACACGGGATGAAGTACTTAGACCATTGTGAGAAAAATGTCCTTTGCCAACAAGGTTCTAAAATATAAGTGGAGAGGAAAGATTTGTATAACAGGAAACTGAACTGCAGAGAGTTTGCTAAAACATTCCAGTGCAACTAATAGAAAGCATTAAGATAGGAAAGATTACTGGCACCACAGTGACCTAGGTAGGTAAGAGAAGGCCAGATGGGGAAGACAAAGATTATCTTGATCCAGTTAAGAGGCAAAGAGCTATATGTATAAAGACTTAAGACTGGCTCAAGGTAAAACCCTTGGAAGACTTGCCTTCCCATTTAATGATACTGATACTCACTCTCCAAACAAATTCTGGGCTTCTAGGAACTCCCCTGAAGTGAAAGGGCACCATTGGGGCTGGAGTAATATAGTGCAGTGGTAGGTTTGCATGTGGCTGACCCTGTGATTGGATCCCCAGCTCCCCATATGGTCCCCAGAGCCCACCAGGAATGGTCCGTGAGCACAGAGGCAGAAGTTAGCCCTGAGCACAACCAGATGCGGCCCTAAACACAAATCAGTAAACAAAAGGAAGGGCACCATCAAAGCCTGAGGTCTCTGATTGAACTGGGGTTTGCCACATGAAAAGAATCGATCACCTTGACTATTGCTCCTGTCTATTTTTTTCTTTTTTTTTTTGTTTGTTTTTATTTTTTTGGGTCACACCAGCAGTGCTCCGCTTGCACTGCCATTTAAGTATTGCGTGCTAACCGATTGCACTGGCAAGCTACCTGTGACGTATTCAATATGCCAAACACAGTAACAATAAGTCTCACGATGGAGACGTTACTAGGCCCGTTCGAGCAAATCGATGAACGACGGGAGGACCGTGACCGTGACCAGCAGTGCTCAGGGTCTGCACTCAGGAATTACTCAGGGGACCATATGGGATGCTGGGATTCGAACCTGGGTCGGCCGCATGCAAGGCAAACTCCCTACCCGCTGTGCTATCGCTCCAGCCCCTCCTGTCCTTTTTTTAACATTGACTTGGTATAAAAAGTCAAACAATGAATTTTGGTCCTTGGTATCTATTTGCTTATAGTTAAATGTAGTTAAGTAGATGTAGATCAGGAACTTAGATTTATATTTGGTACTTTGGTGTTTTACTTTGAAGCTTTGTTACCCAGTATACTTTCTTTATCTTTCAAGAGATAATGAGATACCATTTGAAAATATGTTTTGGAATCTGGATTCTAACCAGGTCTGTTGTACCTTGCAGAATCTGAGACTTGTGTGCTTCCAAGCTTCTGTGGATGGCTCTCGCTCTCTTGACCACACTTCTGAGTAAAATGTCACTGAGATCCCTCAAATGGAGCCTCCTGCTGCTGTCTCTCCTGAGTTTCCTAGTGATGTGGTACCTCAGTCTCCCCCACTACAATGTGATAGAACGGGTAAACTGGATGTACTTCTATGAGTATGAGCCAATTTATAGACAAGACTTCCACTTCACACTTCGGGAGCATTCAAATTGTTCTCATCAGAACCCCTTTCTTGTCATCCTGGTGACCTCACACCCCTCAGATGTGAAAGCCAGACAGGCGATTAGAGTCACTTGGGGTGAGAAAAAGTCTTGGTGGGGATATGAGGTTCTTACATTTTTCTTATTAGGCCAGCAGGCTGAAAAGGAGGACAAAGTGTTAGCTTTGTCCTTAGAGGATGAACATCAACTTTATGGAGACATAATACGACAAGATTTTTTAGACACCTACAATAACCTGACCCTGAAAACTATTATGGCTTTCCGGTGGGTCAGTGAATTTTGCCCCAATGCCAAGTACGTCATGAAGACAGATACTGATGTTTTCATCAATACTGGCAATTTAGTGAAGTATCTTTTAAATTTAAATCACTCAGAAAAGTTTTTCACAGGTTATCCTCTAATTGATAATTATTCCTATAGAGGATTTTATCAGAAAACCCATATTTCATACCAGGAGTATCCCTTCAAGGTGTTCCCTCCCTACTGCAGTGGGTTGGGTTATATAATGTCCAGAGATTTGGTCCCAAAAATCTATGAGATGATGAGTCATGTCAAACCCATCAAGTTCGAAGATGTTTATGTTGGGATCTGTTTGAATTTGTTGAAAGTGGACATTCACATTCCAGAAGACACAAACCTCTTCTTTTTATATAGGATCCATTTGGATGTCTGTCAGCTCAGACGTGTGATTGCAGCTCATGGCTTTTCTTCTAAGGAAATTATCACATTTTGGCAGGTTATGCTAAGGAATACCACATGCCATTATTAATTGAATGTTCTACCTAAAGCATAGAGAAGGGCAGGATACTTTGTGAAGAGTATGAAAGGTACCATAAAATTTCCAAAGGAAAACTACTTGGGTGATCACTCTATTGGTTTACTGAAACTCATAGAGAACCTATAGACTGGAGACATTTTCTTCGTAATTTGACAAAAATCAAGCCAGGCTTTAAAAAAAGTGATACACATATCAATGAACTTAAATTAATTGGAGATTTTTATTAATAAAACTGAACAAAATAAGACCAATTTTATGTCATTATACAGACCATAACTTCTTAAAAGGTTTTCCTTAACCGATTAAGTTTGTTAGTTCATATAACAATGTGGAATTTTAATCATGGAACAACCTAATGAGCTGAGGGTTTTTGGGTTTTTTTTTGTATATATCACATGGATCACCAGTTTTTAAAAATACAGTGTTTTGTGTACACAATTGTAACTAAAATTATACCAAAAATCTTTCATCTGTTTTTGGTCATTTTAAAGGTACTTTAAAAATGTTTCAGTATTTCACAATTATCTATTGTTATTTAATATTACTTAGAACTTTCTGAGTGTTTGAATATACAGTTGTTTCAATACTCTATACATAGAATAATGAGTCACATTTCATTTGAACTTTTTTCCAGTTACATCACTGATGGATTTATTATTGATAGCTCTGTTCATGTAAAGTCATTGGTCATTATTGTGCTTCAATAATGTCTTGAACTCTGATAAATATTACTGTGGTAATGTAGAGAAGAATTAAAGTAAGAAATTCTAAATTATTGTCTTGTTTTGAAAAATATAAATCCCAGAATTTTTCTAGATGTCACTTTATGTGTCTCCCAATTCTACCTGGAAGTTAGGAATAATAACCTAGCAGGCAGCATGTTTTCATTTGGAAAGGACTCTGAAGGAAAGAAAGGAAGAAAAGAGAGACCCAGTGACCAGCATATTAGTAGTGTCATATTCCAGAGCCGAGTTGGAAAAGGAAAACTAACGGGTTGAGTTACAGAATTAATTCATTCCACTTGTTTTCTCATTAACAGTGAGCTTGGAAATAATGGGGCAGGGAGGAAGCAATGCTCCTGCTGCTGTTACTGATTTTACATTAACTAGAAAGCCCTAAGGTATGATATAGAATCAAACTTGATTTCCATGTCATATTGAGGCCCATTACTCATTGGAGTGTAGCCTATCTTTTATTCGATCTGCTACTAATAGGTCAAATGGAAACATTCTGTACCCCAAATCTGCAGTTTCCTATTATGACTGATAGGAGACCAAATGATCCCCCCCTCCCTTCATTTTTTTTATTACATACTGGTGCAAAAAATCAAATCATTTTGCAGAAAGTATAAACCTGAAAGTATACCATTAGGACCAGGGAGGCAACTCAGGAGCTGGAGCATGGGCCTGGCCTGCACAGGCCCCACATGACCTCTTGGGCACTGCCGGGCATAGCCCTGGTGGCTTCACACACCACTGGGAAGGCCCCGAAAGTAGGGAGGACAGTATATAGTCAGCAGAGTGCTGCTCCGCATTTATCTTGGAGTCTTGTTTGTTTGTTTTGGGGCCAACCGAGTGTGATACTCAGTGGTTACCCCTGTTCTGTACTCAGGAATACTCCTGGCAGTACCTGGGGGACCATATGGGATGCCAGGGATGGAACCGGGTTGGCCGTGTGCAAGGCAAACACTCTACCACTGTACTATCTCTCCAGCTCCAAGGAGTCACTTTTTTTCTTTTTAAAGACAAATGGTGCTTACTTTTGTAGCATGGTTAGATTTGATCAATTTTGCAGAAGTTTGTACTGATATTTGGGGCACTAACTCACAGTATTTATAGGGAGAATTTTAAGACCAAAAAAAAACAGAAGTGAAATGTGACCAATTGCCATTGCCTGCTTCTCTTTTTTGGCTTTGGTTTTCTGCATCTGGCAGTACTCAGGGCTGACTCCTGGCTCTGTGCATAGGGTCATTCCTGGTGGGGTCAGGGGACCATATGGGGTGCTGGGGATCCAATCCGGGTCAGCCATGTGCAAGGCAAGTGCCCTCCCCACTGTACCTTCTCTTAAAGCCCGTGTTGCCTTGTTGTGACTTGACTTAAACCAGGTCCTGAGTCCAGTCTTCTCTGGCTCGTATATTGGCAAACCCTTTCCCCTGCATTATGTTATCAACAAGTAATTCCCAGAGTGTCTTTCAATTTACCTTTCAATTGAACTTTTCTGACTTCTTATGTATGAGGAAGGCATGTAGAGATGAATGCTGCTAATACTTCCCCACTAAAGAAGATCATTCAAAATCATTCCCCGGTACAAAATCAGTGTCCCTAGGAGAAATTGTCATTACCTTAGATGTTAGCAGCAGCAGCTGATGGTTCTAAATGCCACTTCGCCCTCTTCTCTTCTGTGGAGTTACTACAGGTGGAAGTACACCAGAGGATGACAGGAAGGTGAAGGCACCTACCAGCTGAAACTGTATCAAAATGTTAACAAGAATGGCCTCTCAATGACTTTTATAGGTAAAATCTTGCCTTGTGTGACAATATGGATAGAACTTGAGTAAAATAAGTCAGGAACTGAAAGACTATTACTGGGAGATTTTACTACATGTGTAATATAAATAACCAAAGCAGATAAACTGGCAGAAGAATAAAAATTTCTTTTAGACTGAAGAATGTGCTGGTTACTAAAGGAAAAGTGGAAGTGTGGGGGCAAAGTGCTATTGTGGGTGTCTGATTGTCTGAAACTTTGGTGGTGGGCGTGGAGAGTCTTATGTGCACAGAGCCATGAAACTTGACCTCTGAGATCTTACGGTATTGTAAGCTAAAGGTAAGTCTATGACATTTGAGGGAAATAGTCCTTTAAAAATTTAAAGAGAATTAAAAAAATTTTTTTTGAATGAGGACAAAAATCACAACTATTAATAAAATTCTAGAGTTGAAATTGGTTCGATAACAAATTTCCAATATTAAAATCAATAAGTTTAAAAATCAATTTTTATGTGAAAACTGTCATCTCTGATCATAGTTGTTAAGTCCTTGTTTAAGGATTTATTAAGCTCTGTGTTGCAGTTGAGCCTTCCGTGTTATTGTTTTTGTTTTTCTGAGTTGGTTTCTGTGTTACATTCCCATCTAAGTTGGTGTGCTCCTACTGGGCTTTCAGTATTGAGGAGCTAGGAGGTATCGAGGCTTCAGGGTCTATGGTCTGGGTCAATGAATTGATCTGGCAGCGGCTTCCTGATGTATGGGAGGTGAGAGAAGATTACCCACTCCAACTTAGAGAAAACCCCAGTGTTTTAGCCTGGCACCGGGATACCTGAAATTATTCTCAGCTTGGCATCTCTGCAGAGAATATTCTTTTTTTTTTTTTAAATTTTTGTTAGTGAAACACCATGAGGTATAGTTGTAGATGTACAAATTTTTGTGCTTGGGTTTCAGTTATACAATGATTGAGTACCCCTCCCTCCACCAGTGCCCATTCTCTACCTCCAGTGCTCCCAGTATCCCTCCCACCCCCCATCTCCCCCACCCCACCCTGCCTCTGTGGCAGGGAATTCCCCTTTGTCCTCTCTCTCCTTTTGGGTGTTATGGTTTGCAGAAGAGGCATTGAGTGGCAATCATATTCGGTCTGTAGTCTACTTTCAGCATGCTTCTCTCATCCTGGAAGGATCCTCTCAACACCCTTTATTTGGAGCTCCCTTCTCTATCTGAGCTGCCTTTTCCCCTAGCATGTGCGGCTGGCCTCCGACTTGGAATAAAATAAAAAATAAAAAAAATAAAAATAAAGAATAAAAAATGTTTTTATAACATAAAACATGGAAACTCCTGGTACTTATCTCAGCTATTCTTGGGTGTTAGTCTCCTATTTTGTTATTGAATGTAATCTTTCTATGTCTGTCCCTCTCTTTCTGACTCATTTCACTTAGCATGATACTTTCCATGTAGTACCACTTGTATGTAAATCATGACTTCATCTTTTTCTAACAGCTGCATAGTACTCCATTGTGTAGATGTACCAAAGTTTCTTTAACCAGTCATGCAGAGAATATTCTTGCACCCTTGGTGCAGCTGCAGGGTGCTCTAGAGTTTTCAGCCAAAGAGACCGATGTTCCCAGGAAGTTTAGCTGCTTGGCTGGCATCTCCTCGGGAATTTAGTCAGGAATCCATAGAGCAGAGCCAGCTGGGGGAGGTGGGCATGGCTCCCGGGCTCCCGGAAGTATAGGGGATCTGGGGAGGCTGCTTGTCCCAATTCTGAGAAGACTCCAAAGTTCTAGCCTGGGCACTGGGGTACCTGAGGCTACTTACAGTTTGGCGTCTCTGCAGAGAATGCTGCCTGGTGTGCATCTCCTATATGGCCAGAGCAGGGCTGTGCGTTGAGTCAGCTTGGCAGCAGCTGTGGTAGGTGGGCCGGAAAAAATTCCTTTTATTAGTTAATTCTGGGTGGCACGGGAAAAATGCTTTTATAACATAAGTACTTTATAATATTAAACTTGGGTGAAAAGCAGAGTCATAAAATGTCATCGGAAATGGCTAGAGTGGACAGGCTCAGATTCTTGCTGTGGGGCGCCAAGGCCTCTTGCCTACCCTTCCTCTTCTTCCACCTGGGCAGAGCCTGTTCCCCTGCCTGAGATGCCATAAGTGCCTTTTCTGCATCTTAAACTTTGGCTTGTGAACCAACCTCAAAGAGATGTCTGCTAGTAGATTTCTGGGGAGAATCCTTCCTCTTAAAACAAAGGGAACAGAGAAAGTCTCCTGTTGTTTGGACAGATGATCCCATGGCATTGCTGGGGATCTCCAGCTGCTGTATGGATTCCATTAGATTTACCTGCTGAAGGACGTGTCTGGCTCAAGGGTGAGCACAATTTTGTATGACACCTGTGAGTGGCCTGGGACCTCTGAAGCACTGAAGCACCGAACCCACTGAGCACCACATCTTTCTAAGCCCGATGCATGAGAAGAAACCACTGTAGCACACAGGTGCAGTGGTCTGTGGCAGCCGAGGGCTTATGAACTCTAGCAGCCTAACGCTTACCCGCTTAGGCAGTGTTGTGGCTATCAGTGGGACATAAATCAAGCTCTCCTTTCAGGCAAAGAGAAAGTTCAGAACGATGGGCCTGCGAGTGTGACCTGCCTCAGGTGCCAATGGAGAGAGAGAAATGCCCTCCCCCACTCTCCTGTACCAAGTCATGCTGTCTATTGAAGGCAGTGTTGTCTGCTGAAAGCAAAAAGAAGAAAGCAAAGCTCTAGAGGGAGTGACGCTCCAGCACCAGTGTCTCAGGAGGCAAGAAGAGAAGTGGGGCAACTCTCCCTCTTAACGATGCCCTTCTTGTCTGGCACTGATACTGGCTTTAAGAACTTGATACTGATTTTTATGAACTCGGAATGGAAGTTTTTAAGTTAATGGTAAGAATGCTCACTCTGTGTTCATATATGAGAAGCTAGAAAATCTCTGGCTTTTGGTGAATTCTCAAGGAATTGGTGCTCTGGACATAGGCCTAGCAATTCTTTCTTGCCTCAATGTAGCTGTAATTATTGTTTATATAACATGCATTGTCCACACGGCAGAGCTTGGCAAGCTACCCGTGGTGTATTCGATATGCCAAAAACAGTAACAATAATGGATCTCATTCCCCTGACCCTGAAAGAGCCTCCAATATGGCAGCGTTGAGAAAGACGAGTAAGAAGAGGCTGCTAAAATCTCAGGGCTGGGACGAATGGAGACGTTACTTGCGTCCACTCTAGTAAATCGATGAACAACGGGAGGACAGTGATACAGTAATAACATGCATTACACATGTAGCACACACACTGTAGCACTGTTC